ATTGACCGGTCACAATGGCGAGCCCAACAAGACGTTTGTATAACTTTCTTTTCTTTATGCTGCCCCCATAAGTGACGACACAGTGACAAATATTGATTTATTTTCATGGCGACACCACGTTTGTAAAGCTGAACCTGCATGTTACATGTTAATTGTTGCGTTATAAAATCAGACATTTACCTACAAATTTCTGGGTGGTAACGAAAGCGAAAGTAAAGGCTTACTGGATGCTCTGTTATGAAATTTAGGCTAGTGGGTATCATGCTGGACTATTGAGCGGTTGACCCTCGTGCGCCCTCTTTGAAAAAGCGCGAACTTTGCGAACAGAGTTAGGCCAACTCTACTTGTGTGAAAAACAATAAAAGTGACACTCTTTTTGGCTGAGTGAACTATCTCTTGGACCTTCTGGTTACCGTGTACGTAGATACTGAGATTACGTGCCCGGTTACCGTGTACATAGACCCTGAGGCTACGCGCCCGGTTACCGTGTACATAGACACTCTGTTTTTTAAATGGTCAGTCTAGCCATCATATTTACAGAGATGCCAACCACAGAAAACCGAAATGAGTATTGGGAAATATGAAAATGTGTATTTTCAGGTGAAAATGTGTATTCCCCACGATCGACCGACCAACCAGTAGGCTAAAACAACACCTGGACATGGATGGCTGGTGCCTCTATAAATAAATCATTGATGGTCGACCAACCAGAAATAGTAAAATGTCCAGGGTGTCCAGCGAAAAAAATTACTAGCTCGCCAGCTCGAAAAAGGAAGCACACACGCGTACAATATACAGTCGAACCTGCCTTAACGGAAACCTGTATAAAATGGAAACCTGTCTTAACGGAATTCCCCCGCTCCCCCCTTGATATATTCCTCTTTAATTACCTGTATAAAACGGAAACCTGCCCAACGCGGAAACGGAAAGAAAAATCCGCTCCCTTCCAAGGATTTCACCTGTCTAAGACGGAAAATGCTTTGCCCGCTCAGCCCCAATTTGAAACAAAACTTGCAAGTTTAGTTCCCTAGCTCTAAACTAACGCTATGGTCATGCGACTGGGCGAGGAAAGGCAGAATGGGTGCAATTTGGGGGTAGATGTTACCCTAGGCCGAGGATACCGGAACTTAAGCTTTATTTTGGTAGCCTCGCCCTAGGCTTTCTCAAGTTACCTCATCATGTGAGCCCTGAGCGATGCAGATGGTCAGTGTAGTGTGGGTGTGAAATGAAATCTCACGACTGCCCGAGCCACTACGGAAACTTTCCTTGGTCCAGAAGCCAAAGGTGTGAAATTAGATTGACCAATGCCTGCCACCCTGATCGTATGGCCAGCCGAGAAAAGAGTTCCGAAAATCGTTGCTACAATGATGGCAGTAAGGGGTGGCATTGGTGGGTGGGGCTAAGGATGGAGGCAAGGGAGATGTTCATACGTTTCTGTTTTTAATAGGTCAAACAGTGGTCCTATGAAAGGCAAGCACTGGTGGTAATTGGATAAGTAAGACTGACACATGTCATTATCAGGCAGGATAGCAATTGAGAGGTGTTAAGTTTTGACCACTGCTTGCCGATCGGACAAGCGATCCTTGATCCCACCGGCTGGGCCTTTGAACCCCCCCCTCCCTCCAACCTCCATCTCCCCCTAAATTCCCCTGTCTAAGACGGAATTTTTTTCTGGCTCCCTTGCGATTCCGTCTTACACAGGTTCGACTGTACATGTATCCAGTCAACAACATGTCAGTGTTCAATGTTGTACTGGGGTCTTGTTCGACTTAAGTATTTCAGTCTATCAAATATAATATTTTCCTCTCATTATTATATAAAAAATAAATCTTGCTTTGAGAGTTCGGAAGGGCTTAGAACAAGAATTTTGACTATCAAGAACCAGTCTGGGTGTCATGATTCATATTATGAACTGACAGACTCAAATTATTGCTCAAACTCAGAGAAAAGCAATAACTTGAATGGCTCAAGTAGACCCATGCACTGTGAGAATTGTAACAACTGTGGTAGGGCAAGATGCAGTGACACTGAAAATCTGCCAGTCTTGAACAGAAAGCTACAACATACACTGTAGGTATAAATTACTATCACCAATCCAAGTAGGTATAATTTACTATCACCCATCCAATGAAACGCGAACACTTTATTTCAATAACACAGACTTGCAAAGTATGAGGGGTCCCAATTCCGCACACGGCCTGCACCAACGTGCGCTTTGCAGAAAGCTCTAATCAAAATTCTGAAAAGTGCTTCCAAGTTTTTGTCCTCTGGTGTTGCCTTAAACCCCCGATAGTATCTTAAACCCAAAAAAAATCAATAATCTCCTCCCCTATTCCGTAGTCCTATACTTCGTAACGCCGTTACTCCCACCAAAGACGGTGTTTACTCACTACGATGCCGCATTTATTTATGACGCGAATGCGCACAGGGTCAGTGACCGGTCACGATGGCGAGCCAGACAATCTAAAAATCGAACGACACTTGTATTTTCTTTTCTTTTTTTTTTCCACAAGTGACAGCACAGCGACGAGTCAGAGTATTTATTACATTTTACTTGAACGGCGACATTGTGTTTATACTGCATAACCTGCATGCCACAAATGTTGCGTTATCAGACAACTGCTGGCAAACTTCTCGGTGGTAACGAAAGCGAAAGTAGATCTTGATTTTCCCGATCGAGCCTCAGTGTCGCATACGCTTCCGCCTACCGCCATAGCTGCCTTTTCGCGTGAAAGTGAAACGTACTCTCCAGACAGGGAAAAGATGAACCAATATAATATCACGTCGCAACCGGCAAAAATGAACTTACTGACCACATCAGACTTGGTTTTCAAATATTCCTGGTCTGCGATACTGTACCTATTTTGACAAAAGATGGGACCTGAGATAATTAAGTTTACTCGCCCAAGCTGAACCTCGTAGTTTTCGCATTCCAGGATGCGTATTTTTTCATGAAAAGTCGTATTCGCATATTTTCGGCCTAAAATCGTACTAAAATACGTAAAATCGTACTGGTTGGCATCTCTGTATTTAGAATAAGTACGGCTAGACTAGCAGTCTAGCCGTCATTAAGTACGGCTAGCCTCTTCCTTTCCAGGCAGGCCCGTTCGCTGTAAAGTCAGGTGTGCGTCCACCTTAAAATAATAAAAGGCCTTTAGAAAGTCATAATTCGACTATTTTCAAATTGATCCAAATTTTGAAAGTATCGGCGTGACCGCCAGAATTGGACACATCACCAAACTTAGTTATCATCTCTGTATGCTTAATAGACTTCATTCTACATGATTGCATTTTAATACGTCCACTTTGGTCTGGTGACGCATCCACTTTGCTGGTGAATGCGTCCACTAGGTCTGGTCAGTGCCACCACCCCCTAATTCTTTATAAATATATAAGAATAAATGATGTTTAAACATAGAATCTAGATCTATGTTCACCCTGTCTGTCATTCTTCATTATTATTATCCACTCACTCATTCTTTATTATGTAAGAAATAAAAATGAATAAAACCTTTAGACCTATATGTTAAGATGTTTCATTTATTAACATTGACATTAGATAAAGATAAAGTGACAAAAACATTTAAAACATGTAGCTCTATTTATTAATTTACAACCAAATATCTTTATACTTATGTAGATTTATTAAAAATTTTAGTTTGTAATGTTCAGTAATTTAAAAGCAAGTAAATTTATGCATTCAAAATACGTGGATGGATGGTAAGTACAAGGGGATTATGAAATAGTGGGCATGCACTTATAAATCGGGTTCTAGCCAGTTTACTCTTTGGTCAGCACACTTCACATATTCATAGCCACTATAAAGGGCCATCTAGACTTGAAAGACTTTTGTTTGGAGGTTTTTAATGTCACAAAAACCAACAAAAAATAATGTAGACGATCTAAATCTAGATCTCTATGACATCTAATGATCTAATTGGATTTAAAAAAACAAAATTTTCACAAAAATAAACCTTTGATTGGTAATAGATGTCTGCAAGTGGCTGAGTGAATGACATTATATTATGCATTTGTACAGGATGTGAACTCATTCACCATACTGAATCTACTCAGTTGGTGAGTGCCACCACCCATGGACGTACGACCAGACCTATACTAAAACTTGGTATGGTGAGCGCGTCCACCCCCCTCGTGGCTCAAATTTCCATTGTTGAATGGCACAATGGACACAATTATATTTTAGAACCTTTGTAAAGGCTAATAAAAGCAAGTGAGGGCGCTTGGAGTTGATAAGTTGCCAAGCAACTGACTAGCAAATATAAGCGTCTCCGCTAGTGTAACTCGCTAATGAAGAAGACAGATTTTTAATTACCAGAAAATAGTGACTTACAGAGTGTAAAAAACGAAAGTAAAATGCGAAATGAAACGGAAACTGCTTTTATACTTTATAATTATACGACCGGAATCGATCCAACACCGATGAAATGAATAGCGAAATACAGCGAGTGGACGCATAGACCAGGTGGACGCGACACCCTACTTTACTCTACACCAACAGTACACGCTGAGTCTGAGTGACCCGACGGCCTGCCCGGAACATCCGACATAATCAGACGCTGATAAGATTCGCATCTAAGCACAGACGCAGGACAAGAGTTAATTAGCCTGTGAGTACAGGGTTAGGGTTAGTATTATTATAGTGTATTGTAATTGTAGGGTAGGGTCAGGGTATACCCAGCTAAAAAAATCCCCTTGCCTTTTGTTTTGGTCCGCCTGCCCTTTGCAGAACTCCTTCCCAATATTATCAACTGAAATTCGTTCTTGAATCAGTGGCCCACGGCAACAAAAAAATTCACACTGACATATATATTGACAACACCACAGTCACAATCGTGACAATGTTGTCATTTTCTGTTTCTAACCTAAAAAATTGGTCACCCAATTCAGAGTCAGACCCTCTGACTCTGTACCTCCTAATCTACTTTTGAACATTATTTAAGTAAGAAATAAAAACATAATAGAATGGTAACATTCTTCACCTTCAATCTCCAATCATGTAACAACTAACCCAGCTGCCTTTCAACAGACACAGTTTGTTGACAAAGAATAAATTTAGTAGCCCAAGTCCTTTTAGGCCATCAAACATCAAACTCTACCAAATCGTAGAGGTAGAGAGTCGAGAATCGAGATGCTATATATATCTATATACGATATATCGCCAACTACTTTAACAAGTATCGAGTCATATTGCATCAACAATACATTATTAGTAAAGAAGTGCAAGGTTGGGCTTTTTTCGGGGGGGGGGGGGCATAGATACAAAAGAAAACTGGAAGTAAGAGAATTCATACTATTTCCTCGATAAAATTTAATGTTCCCATTGTGATGGATAGTCAAGCCAAAAAAACAAAAACAAGAAATTAAGGGATGGGGGATCAGCTGCTAAACAGAAATATGGGCCAATTGCGAAGGATAAAGGTAAAGTTATGTTGCAGAGAAATCAGGCATAGATGTACACTATCAGATTTGTTGGGTTGTTTTTTTCTTTGACTAAATTTTTTTAGTGCCCCTAACTCAGAGGTTTATGGTCTCTGGCCTAGGCTATTTCATAGCCGAGGAATTAAAAAGTTAATTCTCCTACGATATCACTATAAATTGGTGACGATACCATGTAACGAAACATTCTCTGGCACAATAGAGCAGCTTTAGCAGTTAAAAATTCAAGACATTTATATTTGACTATTTCGACAATTGTTGTTAGTAAAAAGAGCGAGCACATGCTTTCTGCGCCTCAGGGCTCAGGGCTAAGGGTCTAATCCTCTTTGCCAATCTTTCGAGATCAAAGGCCCGGTGATCTGTAGACTGTAGATCTATCTAACCCTTTTGGCAAAGAGATGCAGGAACTCTTGCGCTGTTAAAATGTTGAACGCACTCAAAAGTAGATCTAACACTGAAATTTTAGAGATAGAGGGCGGCCAACCAGTAGATCTAGAGCCCTTGAGCTACTGTGCTGTCATAAAAAAAAACGTTCATATGGTAAAAAGAGAAGAAAAAAAAACCCCACTGAAGCATGCGCTCGTCTCTCTCTCTCTCTCTCTCTCTCTCTCTCTCTCTCTCTCTCTCTCTCTCTCTCTCTCTCTCTCTCTCTCTCTCTCTGTCTCTCTCTCTCTCTCTCTCTCTCTTTCTCTCTCTCTCTCTCTCTCTCTCTCTCTCTCTCTCACACACACACACACACACACACACCCTCTGCCTCTTTCATCCCTCTTCCTCTTCCTCACCCTCTCCCTCTTTCAATCTGTCTCTCTTTCTCTCTCACACACAATGGCGGTTGGTGGGGCTAAGAATTCAAGGTAGGTAAGAGTTCAAAGGTAAGATTTCCTTGGTTCAGAGGACATTTTTAGAGATATGTGGGAGTATGTTCCATTCACACACTCACACGCAAACGCGCTCATATGACCTTATACGGATGCGAGCGCCGCAAAACACTTAACAAAAAATTAATTAAACATACAACAGTATCTGGATTAGGCCGTGGGGTCGCAGAAAGCAAGGCATTCCTAAAAAAAACGTAGGCCCATAAGCGTGTTTTGGTAACTGGGTCCCTGGGAAAAGTGTATCATGAACTTTCCCTCCATTGTCTGGGCAGGCAGAGAACGAGCTCTCTCTAACAACAGTTTCCGCAGGCTCTGGTTTGTTTGCTTTACCCTTTTTCCAAGAAGAGTTTCATTAAGAAACGACCATGGGAAGGCCTAGGAATGGACTCATCCTTTTCTGAGCTCTAAACACATTTGATTGGCTGTTAGGTTACTATCGTTGTAGTAAGCGGTGACTACAGTGATTGGATAAACGAGTAAGCGTGTGCGTTCACCGCATGCAACTAAAGACGGAGGTGGAAGATTCTGAAAAAGTTATAACGGTTTCAACTGATTATCTCGTTTATTAGAAGAAACATTCTTTTACGGAGGGAAAGAGTTGGGTGGGGCTCAAGCCCTTTAGCCCTTCACTACTCCCCGCCACTACTCACACATATATATTATGTGTTTGGATGTATGTTGCAAGAAAAGAAAGGGGGGGGGGGGGGGGTAAATCACATGTTGTCCCAGCCCCACCCCCCGTTTCCCTGTTTTTCCTCCCCGTCACTTGCTTGCTCCCTTTCCAACTTAGAGACGTCCTCGTAGGCTTATCTCTATTACATGTGTACCTAGTGTGTACACACAAAGATAAGGCCATCGTTCGCTCTGATATAATTATAATTGAATTTGACGGCAACAGCTTCAAGTTGGCTACAATTGTCAAGGCTACTTCGCTTTCACATCAAAACCAGAATCCCAACTGTAGGACCGTCGATACCTAACCCGCTTCTTTCTGCACAAGGGCGATCTACTGTTGTTATAATCTGATAGGCCTAGACGTCTAGTGCTTCGTTGATCAAGATGTCGGGGACGTTTCTTTCACGGTTGTTAATGGCGTGTTCTTTGGCGTGTGCGCTAGCGTCAGGTTGGTTATTTTGTTGAGGGTTTTTTTTTTTTCAATTAATAATTTTCGGTATTTTCACGACCCCGTCGACACAATTTAGACCATTCAGGGGGCAGACTTCCGATACTTGAGACATATAATAGATCTAGGCCTACAAATGTTCTCCCCACTCGGGAATCGAACTCGGATCGTCTGCATGCGACAGTAAAGCATCTAAACGCTACAGAACAGACCCTTCTGGTCAGATTAGTTAGACAAGTTATGTTGACACATTAGTTTACTTCAGTGTCTATTAGATAGGCTTTTTTTAAAAATTGGATACATGTACGTTGTAATGCTTACTGTTCTGGTACGGTACCCCCCAGTTGGCTTACTATTAATGCTAATACAGTTTGAAAGATAATGTCATTTTAGTCCTTGTCGTCGTCGTCGTCATCATCATCATCATCATCATCATCATAACTGTTCGGAAAGCAGAGTAGGAGGGAGAGTAGAGTCTTTTGGGCTTCCTCAGCAGCAACTGAGAGTAAAACTAAATGTACGCTTTATAATAATAATACATGTAGCAGGGAAATTGGCCTAACAAAGAGGGTATTAAGATTATAGTACATGCGGTTACCAGAAATCATCATCATCATCATCATCATCATCATCATCATCATCATCATCATCATCATCATCACCATCATCATCATCATCATCATCATCATCATCATCATCATCATCATCATCATCATTATTATTATTATTATTATTATTATTATTATTATTATTATTATTATTATTATTATTATTATTATCTACAGTGCCTCAATGGTTGTTGCTTCTGTTTGCCAGATTTGTAAATTTAAAAAAATATATATATTTTTTTTTTTGCAGGTGTAGATCTCGGAGAAAATGTCAATGGTGATTCCACCGAAGTGGCGGGAAAAAAACTCTTTCTCAGAAACAGCAACAACAATAATAACAACAACAATAACAACAATAACAACAACAATAACAACTACAACTTCGCTTCAGTTTTTTCTGGTGTGACTTCGGTTGCTGACACCGGCTTTAAGGTTCTGATCGTGGACAATACATTGTACGTGATTGTTGACCCCGCAGACGGTTCTATCAAGGCAACAGCGCCGGTTTCCCCACCTACGACGACGACGACGACGACAACAACAACTTCTCCGCCATGTGCCATTGCTGGTTTGAGTGCAAGTGCCTGCCAGAACCTTTTCAGTGGTTTGAATCAAGTCGTCGGTTGAAAAAACAAAGACAAGTTGTGCGGCCCTATATTCGGCTTAGATTCGGGTTCATACCAAAGTGACGACAGAGACTGAGCGAAACTGTTTCAGATGTACTGCAGTGTAATAAACACCAGGAACTCATGAAATGAAACTCACATGATTGACCCCCCCCCCCCCTCCCCTTGTAGTCAGTCTTTCGAATTTGATTTGGCAAGATACCCTTCCCCCCCCCCCCCCCCAATCTAAATTTTGCAGGAAAAGCACCCCCTCCTCCCCTTTGCACTTTGCGACAAAAAAAGGAAAATAATATTATGCTTTCGTGTGATTTCTTCAACATTAAAAGTCTTCACCCCACTTTCTGCTGTAAATGTTTGTTATTTGACTACACATTACACATAACATGTAGATCTACTTTGTATAGAGAACCCACATCGGTAATCTCGTAGTACTTTGTAAAGCATCTCTGTCCTGATTAGTTCAGTTAGACCTACATGACTACAGGTATATATACATTTATCAAAACTAGTTACATGTATACTATACTCGCCAACATTGCTTTGCCAAGGCAGCGGTCGATTTCACAAAAGCTTACAACAAGGGGGTCACCCAGAGTGATGTATTTTTGATTTTGAGTGGGTTCGATAAGATCTGAGAGAAATCTGAACACACAATTTCCAGAATTGTAGTAATATTAATAATAATTAAGGTCGCTTAAATTAAAGGTCAAGCGGGCTAACCCAGATTTCGGGGTTTCCAGAAATCTTGACCTACACTAAAAGTGGGCTTTGTCCTACCTATAGGAGAAGTTTGGTTTCATTAGTGAGAATATATATCTATTTGTTTGGTTATAGAGAAAACTCTCCTTGTTTTTTAATGAAACTGAACGAGGGGCAAAAACGTTACCTTCGATTTTCTCAAAAACAGCATTTTTCGGGATAGCCCACTTGTACTTAAAAGCGACCTAATGTTCTTAAATCAGATTCGGTGCCACTCCACTTAACGATCTACCGCGACGTTTCTGTTCTACTACAGGACAATCCATCACCAGATTAAACTGACCATTACAATGACGTGTTCCAAATTAACGCCGACATAAATAAAGAGCTTACATTTACATGTAGGCCTGTACTAATAATACTCGATCTATACTACTTTAACATACCGTACTGGAGCAATAGTCTACCTGTTTGTCTGTCGATCAACAAGCTTCTTACGAGAACAGAAACGGAACGATAAGATAGCCATCAACAAAATTCAGAATAAGCGGTTCATTCTCCTCTGTCTCTTCTTTTTGTTTGCTTGTTTAATTAGAACCTGTTTCATCCTAAGATAGACCAGTGGCCACTATGATATTATTTGGCGGCATGTTTAGTTAGTTCCCTCACTTTATTTTTATTATAGTTTTCCTGTTTGAAGGCATGCCAGTTTGTCACAGGCCCAGTTAGTCTCAGGCCCTAAAGTCCATCTAAAATGTCAATTTAGATTGTGCTGTTCAATATTTCTTCCTTTTTGTATGCAAATCAAATCAAATTTAAATTACTCTGTAAAATTTAAATAATGAATGTTCTTTCGTTAAACAATTGAAACATAAAATTCAATTCATAGTGGGCCTGCGACAAACTGGGCCTGTGACTAACTGTAGCTCGTCCTATGACTAACTGGGCCTATGACTAATTGGGCCTTTGACAAACTGGAGCTGTGACTAACTGGGCAGTCCCCTCCTGTTTGACCTGTCCGTCTGAGGCTGATAAGTCAAGCCTATTCTTTCTTTCCTTCGTCGGTAGATTAACATTGATCTTGGGTGGTTTGGCGGATGCTCTGATATAAATGTAATTTGCTTTCTCGGTCATGTCAAACATCTATGGTCCTTATAATCTCTTCTTCAGATTTTCCTTTTTTGTTTGTGTTTGTTTCTCTCTTGTAACACCTCTAATCTTCGGTATATATAATACAATTATATTATGATCGAATTATGTCGCCGTAAGTGCCGTAAAACTCTTACTAAAACAAAGGTACGGTAACCAAAACCATTGGTCCTCCCTTTTGCTTTGTCTGGTTGGACTAGTGGTATTCTTAGAATTACCCAGAGACTGCTTTGTTCGCGAGCAAGTCTGCGGCCTAGTGGTTAGGCTCTCGGACTTGCAACCCATAGTATTATGGTCGTGGGTTCGAATCCTGCCTGGGGCCCGACGTTGTGTCCTTGGGAAAGGCACTTTACGTGATTTTTCCACACTTAACCCAGGTGGGAATGGGTACCCAGCTATAGACAGTGAAAGATCGTGTCAGTTTGTTTGTGTTTGAGGGCTTAATCAGCTGCTTGCACTGTATGCTTCCCGGGAAGCTGAGAATGTTTCTGAGTGTTCTATGGTCTACTCTACTGGGGTAATAGTGTAAAGCGCACAGAGCTTGCTGTAGAGCGGGGTAATGCGCTACAAATGTAATTTATTATTTATTATTACATGTATTATTATTATGGAGAGGAGGGGGGGGGGGGGGTAGGGGGCAAAAGGTGAAGACAAAAGCAGACAATATAACATGGTTAGAGAGCCGGAAAGGTGGAGAAAGGAGGGGAAAAAATAATTAAGAACATTTTCCGTCAGCATTAGGTTTTCAACCAGGGACCTACTGAATGAGATGCGAACACCATAGCATCCAGACCGCAAGAGCAAGTCTCAGATCAGGCCTATAGTAGGCCTAATATTAAAACAGTTTAGAGGCACAGTCAAAAGGAGAAATTCTACCGAAAGAATCAAAAATATTATTTTAACATTAATATCATTTTTCTTACACCCTGTGAAGTTTGTGGGTTGTTGATTTATTGTTTATGTATTGTATGGCATTATTCAGTCCCAGGAGACTACAGATCTGCGCAGAAGGAGATTTCAGGTTCGAAAGCAGCGCTTGCTGTGGCTGAACAGGCCCACACGGGAATGGCAGTCCCTGTTGCAGTGGCTGCACTTGTGAGTGGTGTCTTCCTGCGTTGGTAGCCTCTGTCTGTTCTTTCGGCGACGGCGTTTGTCCTCAGCAGCCTGTCGCAGTCAGGCTTAATCTCAGATAAGACCAGCTCACAGCGCCTGTCTCCACTTGTCGCGATCGCACACCAGAGTCTCCCAGTTCCCTGTATCCATATCGAGCGATTTCATCTCGCTCGCACACATCTTTGAAGCGAAAATGGGGGCTCCCTTGCTCTGGCTTTCTGGAGGCCAGCTCACCGTACAATAATTCCTTTGGAATTCTTCTATCCGGCATGCAATACACGTGACCAAGCCAGTGGAGTCGGCGCTGCCGGAGCGTGGTGAACAGACTTGGGATCTGAGAACTTCGACGTCGGTGACTTTGTCGCTCCACTGTATATCAAGGATGCTCCTAGGAGCGTGCCTCCTTTTGCGTCGCGTCTGGTCCTTGTCGCTGTAAAATCAATCAAGTAAGATTATAAAGAAACTGTCTCCTTACTCGCGAAGCGGCGTTTAATCGGGCGCGACTGTCGCGTCCGATCGGTTCATTTAGAAATCGAGAGTCTTGTCGCGTGAGACAGACTTGTTGGTGAAGGCAATGCTCGAGGCTATGTGCAAAAAATAACTTGCTACTGTCTCTCTGTTGTGAACTGCCACCGTCGCGCTCGGGATTTACCAGTCGCGCGCGACGCAACGTCGCGTCGTGAGACACTTTTGTCGCTTCTGCTGCACGCGACTGAAAATTTGGATACACACCTCGCGACTGATCGCGAGCGACTGTCGCGCGCGACGTAAAGTCGCGCATACGGAGACATTTAAAAAATAAGGCTACGTGGCGTATGGAATGCGTTGAGCCTTTTTTCCTTTCTGCTGTATAGGGCCCAGGTCTCGCTTCTGTGTGTGTGT